TAATAATAGACTTTATTTAAAGAGGATCAAAACATGTTAAGCCATAGGCTTATCTCACACATGGTCCTCAAAAATTAGTACGAAATACAGAAATTAGTGATTTATAAATAAATAAATAAATAAATAAATAAATAAATAAATAAATAAATAAATTAATAAATAAATAATGATAAATGATAAATAAATGATAGTTGTGCTATGTTCTGTTTCTATTTCAGTTAAAATCTATTTTAGAAACCAAAGGTGGACCAATACAAAGTATTTTATTGCACGATGTTACAAAGTTTGGATCTACCGATCTATTGGTGGGGCATTCTGGCGGGATGGTCACAGTATTTTGTAATGAACAAATATTCAGCCGATGTAGCATAACAGAAAATAGTGTTGATAATTTGGAAATAGACCACGATGCAAGTAAGAAGTGAATATTATTACAATGAAATCTGTGGGAACAGAACACTGCGGAGAAAGAAAACAATTATGAGATATGGTACTGAAATGAGGTGGTCTGTATAGAGAATTCATGGTTCTTTATACATAGGCCAACTCAAATATTTTGCTCATTTGGTACTAAATGGGGGTACATATAATCATGGGTGGAATCATTGAAGAGGCTTAAAGCGGGGAAGATGTCACCTGTGCATGCCACAGAAGGCCATAGCGTGCCATCTACCCAAGCATCTACCCATGAGCCTTTGCGTTTTTAGCGTTTGTTGCTATCGTCGCTTGGGATTAAATTCCCGCGTGCACGCAGGTGACGCCCCATTACCCCAAGATTATTTTCCCTTATGTCACGAACCATATGGCGGCGCCATTAGGGCTGGATATCCACTCTTCTTTTTCTCCGCATCAAGCGTGGATGAAGTTTAGCGGCTCTGCCTGGATCGCTTGCATTTTTTCCTGTCCGGGTTTCTAGCTTGGGTTGTTGCCGCTGCTGCGGCATCCAACATTGTAGCTGGTAGGATAAGTTTTCTTTGTCATTTTTACCCTCGTGTCATTTTCCCTTTTGTGTGTAGCATTTTTCACAACAAAGAAATAAAACCCGGCGTCGTAGCTTAATCACTCATTGATTTCGTTGCTTCAACTTTTCCAACTGTAATTCGCTTCCGTCATGCATGTCGTCTTCGTTTTATGCTTGATCTATGTATTTAGAAATGTATAGATGTAATGACAGCACCAGAAGCTCGCTGCCGTTTTTTGTTTCCTAGTTTTTCGAGACGACTGTGCAGTGGTTATATTCAGAATTTACCAGCATAGAACCCGCATCCGAAATGCTTTTGCCGTAGCTGCATGCAGGGTTCAGGGTTTTTGCGTTGAAGGCGTGTGTTTTTCACTGGAGTTCTGAGGCCTGAGATATTTTTTCAGAGCCATCAAAATCGCTGAGACTGACAGCGTTACTCGTATTTTCACACCAAGGTCGCGCGTCCAGTAAAAATCAGTTAAAGTAAGTTGTATGTTTGGCATGAGTGGAAAGTCCTCACACTCGGCTACCGGTACTTTGTGTACCGAGACGTTGAGTAGGAGGCCCGATGGTGGAGGTACTGATATTTTTTCAGGCTCCCCCCGCCGATCGGAGGGCATCCTCACAGTCTGTGTTTTCAGGTATTACCCGATTTTACTGGCTACAGCGAAGCTGTGCCCCTGGAGGTCTTTTCTCCTATGGAACCCGTTGCGGGTCCCTTCCTCGCATGGTGACGGGTTTGCCTCCGAGATGAGGGCTTTGGTCGAAGGACTGTCGGGGGGCAAATTGCATCCCTGGCAGGCCGGGTAGATCAGACGCAGTCGGAGCAAGCTATCTCCACTGCGGCCCCTTCAGTGGGTAAGCAGGAAGAAACACAAAAACATCACTCGCATTCAAACATGTCTCTTCCGGGGAACCCCCCATTCCCAGCCGCGGCTCTCCCGCTGATTTGGGTGAGGCCGAGGCTCAGGCTAGTCGCACCAGGTCTCCTCTGGGGCTTCGGGTGCTGAATGCCAACGGGGATGCTGGCAGCCAAGCCCCCAATAATGGGGCAGTGCTTTCGGGTCAGGGCACACATTGCATTGCACCTCCCCCCTACTTTCAGCCAGCCAGGGTTTGTCGGGCGGTAATGGTACAACGGTAACAAATTTACCGCTGTGGGTTTTGACTTTCTTCTTACCGACCCACGGGCGTCCCCAGAGAGAACCGACCCTGTCATGAAATGCACAGTCGAACACACTCTCTCTCACATATTTAAAGTGGAAAGGAGACAGTTCGCTCGCGTCGGATACAGCCGGTACTTCGGGCGGTCCCTCAGAGTCTTCTATCCGTAATGACTCGGTGAGCCACGCCTTTAGGGTGATACAGAGTATCATCAATCCTAGTGATACGATGTAAATACCCCCACCCTTGAGGTGACCACTTTCGGTTGATTCAATGCTTATGGGATCACGGGCATCATTATCCAAAGCAACCCCATCGGCATGTCTCCCTGTCCATCCGAGTGCGGAGTGGGGTGCAGTGCGCGCAAACGGTGGTCAGCCACGGAGGAGGTAACTCTTAAGGCCCCCGGGTGGGGTAACATCTTATGCAACATTTTCCACTGGACCAAACGCTACCCGGTCGGTGTGGTTTCGGGATCAGACCCCAAAGTGTGTGATGAGACCAAAACACCCCCAACTGGATCCCAAGGCTCCTTCCCCAGACCCCGGTACCACAAATTTCTTGCCAGCTCAATCTGAGACGATCCATCATTGTGCGCATTATTGTGCGCGCACAGGACTCTGAGACCTCAGAGGCAGAACGCATCAGCCTCCTAGACCAGGTGACACATTTACTGGTGGGCCACCGCACATCTACGTGCGACATCCCCTAGTGTCACCTGGCTCTCTCTCTGAGTCAGGGGTACGTCCCCACCTCAGTGACACAGATTGGACATCTTCCATCCTCTTTGTTCGGGGAGTGGTGAGTAGAGTCTTGGAGCTTCGGAGTGCAATGAACCAGAGGGTTCAGATCGAATCCGCTAGCCAGTTGGCCCTGCCAAGGGTAAGCGGAGGACACCCCAAGCACTGAAAACACAACGCCCTAGGGCGTCGTCCGCTAGCCAGAGTCAGCCAGGAGGCAAGCGCTCATACCCTTCCTAGGAAAGAGTAGCGGCGCGCCCCCAGGGAGGAAAGGGCCAGGTGATGGCTCTTCACCCTCCTCGGGCGATTGTCTACCCTGGCAGTGGGGGAAGCGTGTTTCACAACTTAGTGACTTCTTCAGGCCTTGGGGAAACTCACCTCATGGGAGAGCACCTGTACCTCGCAACTGCCGAACCCATGGCCACATATCTCTGTCATACACACATTGCACCGGTGTAACTGGTTTGGAGACAGCGGCCAAGTTTTCGAATTTCGGGTTATGCATAGCGCCCTATGTGTTCACCAGAGTTATAAAACGGGTAGTGCTGCTGCTTCACCAAATGTCGGTACACCTCAATCCGTACCAAGAGGACTGGTTACTACACAACCCGGACAAGGCTAAACACGTCAGGCTAACACAGGATTTACTTCACCAGTTGGGCTCTTTAGTAAATGGACAAGTCCCATCCCGACCCAACACAACAGTTGGTGTTCTTGGGCATGGAGTTTGACAAAGAGTTTGAGGTAAGCTTGGTATAGCTATTTCAAGCGTGTTGCTTAGCGCTAAGCAGCATAGCCGAACGCCTAGTCAGTGTTCCCTCAGTGTCACTCCGTGTCTCTCCAAAAACTAATGCGGATCATGGGAATGATGACCTCGGTTTGAAGGCCGCACTAAGTAGTCGCCCGGTACAACGCTTGTTTTTACAACGCCAAGCTCTCCTATGGGAACTAGATAGGCCTCGGACAGGGGGTTCCCTTGAACCCACTCGCCGCAGCTATGACTCTGGGACCAAGGTTGGGGGAGCGCATATATTGGATGAACAAGCTCAAAGTATATGGCCCCCGCATTAGTTTCGAGACCACTATATCAACTGGTTCGAACTGAAAGCAGTGCACTTAGCACTACCACACTTTCCACCCGTAGTTCGAGACCACAGAGTCCTGCTCCGCTCAGGCAACACAGCGGTGGTCTTCTTCAAGAAGGAGGGGGGCGCGTTCCCCATCGTTGTCAGTTCTAGCGGAGCAAATCTTCCTTTGGTGCCTGGAATACAATGTGGAGCTAACCGCACGCCACATTCCAGGGCGGCTTCGTCTCCCGAACACTGAGTGGCTGATACCCCAGTGGGTAGCCTCCAGGCTGTTTAGGCTGTTGTACGGTCCAAAGATAGACCGGTTTGTCGCACTCCAGAATGCCAAGCTCCTGACGTACATAACGCTCCTGCCGACTCCAGGTGCCTGGGCCAGGGTCGCTTTGCTAACCCCGTGGACCCACTTAGTTGTGTATGCCTTTCCTTCCTTCCTGCTAGTTCACCGGGCACCGAAGAAAACTTCGACAGGTGCACACCTGCATATTGTCATTGGTCGCACCCAATTGGCCAACCAAGGCCCAGTTTCCACTTCTGTTGGAAATGCTAGTCGAAACACCAGTAGTGCTTCCGGACCTGCTGTCCCAACCGGACGGCGCACTACCAACGAGCCCAGCCGGTATCACTTACACACATAGAGGCTCTCAGTAGACCCGCACATACGAAAGCCTTATCTGAGCGGGCTGCCAACGTCCTGGCCAGGGCGAACAGGGATCCCACCATTGCAGCCTACATTTCTAGGTTGCGAGCATACACTGATTGGTGTAGCGGAAGGGGAATTAATCCATATCCATCCCTCTATTGGCCAGGTAGCAGACTCCTTCGTCCACCTGTTTGACGAAGTGGGTTTGTTCCACGCAGCGTTCGTTGGCTACAGGTCGGCCTTGTCCCCCACCATTGAGAACGTTTTCTGGAACAAGACTAGACGATTGTCCTATTATTGGGAGACTATTTACTGCTTTTAAGTTGTGCTAAAGACACAAATCAGGTTTCTCGCCAAGAACCAAATCCCAGGACACAATCCTCACCCGATCGTCATCCCCCAACTGTCAAACTTTGTTGGCCAGAAGGGTCAGGAGGAATTGCTTCTCTGCCCAGTTCGAGCATGGAGTTGCTACCAAAATCGTACTAAGGATTCAGGACGGGGTGCCAGGCACATGTTTTTGTGTTACGGCCCAGGTAGGCAGGATAGGCCGGCCTCCCCAACTTCTATCACCAGGTGGATTACTGCGGCTGTATTAGAGGTATATAATACTTTAACTTCCTCGACACAGAGCTTGCAGATACACCAAGTACGAGCGCATGAGGTCTGTGCGATTGCTAACTCACTAGTGCTAGCGTCAGGTGCCCCTGACACTAAGGGCAGGCTTCTGGAGAATGCAGAACGTCTTTATCAACTACTACCTAAGAGACACCCAATCCATTTAGGAGGGGGGTCTCTTTAGGTTGGGTCCCATCGTAGCGGGTCAAACTTGGTTTGCTGACCCAGCCCGAACAACCATAAGGGTCGACGATAAACGATAAGTCAGTCTTGGCATTTTTGCGGAAGCTCCCAGGTCCCGCTTTTCGGCCTATGCCCTCATGCAGAACTGTTTCGGTCTTTACCGGTACTTCGAAAGCATACTACCCCCAGAATTGGGTTGGGGTCTAGCTTTCTCGGGCATACCGAACCCTGTCACTGTAGCAGCATTTTTGGCTTTTGCTTATTTTCTTGATAACTGAATACAATAATACATGTGTATTATAATCCAGTGAGTGAATTTATAAATTTATTAATAGAATGTATTGTTTTCTGCACAAATTAGTGAATTTGAAACCTAGTGAATATCACAACATAAATTCTGCTAAAATTAAACCCAGTCATGTAATTTCCTATTCTATAGACAGAAAGTAATACAAAGTAAAAAAAATAATGAGAATAATTTATATCAATATTACTCAGACTTTCTCATTATTTTCTCAATAGCTGGTAATTTAAGTATTGTTGTGGGTGACAGTGGTGGGTGTATCAATGCATTCTTGCCATATAGACCACTATGGAGGCTGCGCCTTCGAGATCACCTTTCAATACCTCAGGTAAGCATAAATCCTCGTCACCACAAGTCATTAATTATGTAAGATCAAGAATATTCATTTGGTTGTCATGAGAAAACAAATGTGGATACAATGTAGCGATAAAAATGATGTACTACTTTTAAGTCGAATTGATTTGATACCATCGTTACTCAAATTTGAGAAAAGTCAACAGATCATCGCTGCCATGGTAACTAGTACCCTCCAGCCATGTTCTTCTCTACTTTCCTCTTACTGCACAGATATCATTGATATTTATTTCGCCACTGATGTTTATCGCATTTTGGTGTTTTGTTACATATTATTGAAGGTCATACCATGTATAAGTAAGAGTAGTTTGAGTCAGTGAGTGGAGTCGGTAATATTCAAATGTCATTCTAAGCATTAAAGCAACAACATTGACTTATAATTTATATGCTTTTGTTGGGAATATATTATTAACTTTTGAATGCCATAATTTTTCCCACCAAATATGGTGGTGTAATATTTTGTTTATTTTAATGTATTTTTAGCGCTGCTGCCATCGTAGATGACAGCAGAGCTGTTCATATAGGTGATTGTCCATCGTCTGTCATTCATCTATCAACAATCATTGCATTTTCAACTTCTTTTGAAAACTAACAGCTCAATTGCTTTGATACTGGGTATGTAGGTACCTTGGGTGGATCGCTGTCAGACTGTCATTTTGTGACGATACCTTCAATTCTCTATTTTTGGTGAATATTTTTGTCATTTTTGGTAAAAAAATTCTATTTTCGACTTCTTCTTGAAATCGACCAACTCAATTGCTTTGATACTTGCTACTTTGATACTTGGGTGTATTTTAGAATTATTCTTTAACATTACGTGTACATTATTTTTGTGAACAATTTATTCTCAACTTGGCTATATATACCGCAATGTACTTATATGACAGCAGAACTATTTCAACCAACAGCTTGCTTGTTCTATAATTTATTTAGTATTTTTGGACTAAATAGAGAAAATGTTCAATTTGTGGAGGTTCTGTTCAACATTTTTGAAAAAAAAAATGATGTGGGTTGCATTTCATGAAAGGTGAATCATTGCTTAAAAGCTTAGTATAAATTATGAAATATGCAAGTGCTTTAAAGTATTCATTTGTGCTACAGCTTTAAAGAGCAAACATATTTTATGACAGATTTCCACGCCCTGTGATGTATGGAAGTTATTTTCAGGATTTGTGGCTGCATATTTTCGCTCGTAAAAATACAGTATGGATATGCAGCATCATAACATTCACACTATATTTGCAGCAGTTGATATCTATTCAATTACCGATATTCAAAAAATTCTAAAGGCTAGGTTTTATGACTGAACAGTCAAACTTGGAAGCTTAGTCGAATGTGACCGCCATACTAGAAATGCCCCAAAAGTGTTGAGGTGGGCGCTTAGTCAAGCAAATTATTTTTCTAGTATTGTTTTCAATGTGCATGCTCTCCTATGCAATATTGAATATATATACCCAGTTGTTTTACACATTGTTTTTTTTTATGTTTACAGAGTATATCTAAATCTGCGGTTGTAACATGTTTATTGGCGACTAATTTAACTAATCCGTCTGGTCACATTAGTAATTACATCTTAGCGTGCGATGACAATAAACAGTTACATGTCATACAACAAGGCAGCATACTCTTGACTTTACATACACAGAGCGTTGTTACGTCGGTTAGTAAACTTCATGTTTGTTTTCTTAAGTTTATTCAGCAAAGTATTGGGAGTTTGAGAAAGCATTTGATTGGTACCACAACAAAAGCAGAAATAATACACTGCAACAAATTCAGGCTACATCTAATGAAGCAAAAGTCAAGGCATGATGAAGCAAAGAAAATAAATAACTTTCTTGATAAATAGTTCTATGCATCAGATTATATGATCAGTTTAATTTACAAATGTTGTAAATTTCAGATTTGATTTTTGGCCAATTTAATATTTTCACCACCAGACTTTGTCATCTAAATTTTTCTGCATTTTTGAAGCCAGCAGACAACATTTCAGTCAATTTTCAGTTTTTAATAAAAAAATTTGGCTTTAGTCCCTATTGAAGGAAAGTGCAAACTATATACATGACTATTTTATGGATTTGTGATGAAAAGAGAGAACTGGTCGTGAAAAGGTTAATACTCAAAATAAGCTTCCAAATAATTTTTGTCGACAATACAACTTTAAGCTCTGCATCTTTGGAATATTTTTTAAGATGTGCATCACTGTTAACTTCATTTCTATGAATACATTCATTGTAAACCATAGTGACTTTTTCTTTTAGTTGTTTAATTAGTCCCCGTTCGGATGCAGTCCGAAAACGGGGACTTATGTTTTGACCCTTGTGCGTCCGTCCGTTCGTGCGTGCGTTCGAACCTGTATCTTAGAAATGCCTTGACGAATTATCATCAAACTTCACACATACATCATACATGATATTATACATATGCAATTTGTTTCAGGATTTGATTCAAGATGGCCGAATGGCGGCCATTTTTATGCTAAAAAATCATCATAATCAAGCATTTTTCAAGCATTTACAGATGGATTTTGTTCAAACTTGGTATATACATAATATTAGACGTTATGGGTTCCTGATGCACATCATTTTATTTTTCAGATCAGATTCAAAATGGCTGACTGGTGGCCATTTTGTTTTAATGATTGGGCTTCTAGAGCCATATCTCTGACATGCTTGAAACAATCATCATAATCATATTCCTGATATGGTTATATTCCAGCTATATTACTATAAACAAAAAAACTATATATCTTAAATTTGATAACTAATGGGGACTGTGGCTTGTTATTTGTACAATTGACACTAACTATTATTCATTCACGTCTAGATGTGTTGCGGTCAGTTTCTTCCCGAATCGGAAGCCGCAACTACCCCTGGAGACAAATCATCCCCGTCCACCACCACATCCTCCCAGTTGGCGTCAACACAGATTGCACTAGGTGGACAAGATGGCTCCATTTATATCATGAGTAGCTTCCAGGTAACATTTTTTACTTTATTTGCACCAGTCTGGAAACCTATTGTACAAGAACACTCAATTCAAGCGTTCACATCTTCGTAATTTTTATAGTACCGTAGTCCTGGTTCCGTCTCGATCCTTGGCCTTCCATTCGTTTGTTGCATTTTGTATTCCATTGCTAGTTCGCATACAATTTTCTGTTCTATAATTAGACATTTTGCACAGTCTTCATCTCGTCACATGATATAAAAATACACCTGACTTAGGGTATATACTTTACCTAATATGCACATATTACCATATTGAATTTTCTGAATAATGACTGGAATCGAGATGTTGCTTGTCTAGGATTTAAGAAGAGCTACTGGTAGAATGCAGTTCAAATGATGTACGTAGAAAGGTGAAAGGGCTAAAAAATATTTTAGCTAACTCTTGGAAATTCATTGACACATCCTTGTGAATATTGTCATCATCAACATTTTTTTGTAATGCCATGAATACATTTCTGATGGTACAGTGCAACCAATTAAATAATTAACCAACCAATCAATAACATTTTACATGCAGTTTACCTGACAGGTGTTTTAATTAGGAAACCAAGATGACTTCCCTTGTCCACAAAACTATATAGTTTTAGAAAGCTTATTGTATGAATTTAAAAATTTTGTTAGTATTTTTTTTATGGTCACTGTGACCAAGTTGAAAATAAGTTGATACAACACAATGTATGGTAGAGAATCGCCAGGTTTACACATTCCAGGCTTTATTTCTATTCGAGAAATTCTTACAATTCATTCATCTTACAACTAAAGTAAGTGAGTGAACAAAACACAAAGAAAAACCCCGTCAATTAACAAACCCTAAATTCATTCCCGAAATACAGTGACAGTCTTCATAATTTACAGGAAATGCCATTACAGCCCTTTTTAGGTGAAATTGCACACTGGAATAAGCCAAATAAGCCAAGCCGAGTACCTTCTCAATGAAAGTTCAGGAGTCCTCCGCCACACCCAGCCCAACTGCTAACTTGCCACGCCCAGGTTATCTGGGTAGTAATTTATGCAAATGAACCATCTTCCTTTTAGTGATTCTATAGAGTTTATCCTTTTTTGATGCGTACAGCAGTTACAAATATAAACATGAAATAGTTATTTATTAAGATAATTTGATATCATTTACACCACACCAAACAAAATGGTTCTGAGACAATTCATTTGCAATTTGCAAACAGCAAACAGTGGAGTAGAGTAGAGTTGCGCCCTCTGTGGCTAAAACAACCATCTCCTGTAGCTGGTGCTACCATAGAAATAGTTGGCCAAAAGGGGTCAACGGAAATAAATGTTACAATGCTCACATTTGAAATATGCACAAAAATGTGCTTTTTTGGTCAAAAGTGATTTTAAAAAAATTAGCTCCTAAACCATGCTTTTGTTTCCTGTGTGCCGTCTTGAAAACTGTCTACCAGTTGTCAATTTTGCAGGGCAGCAGCCCAAATTTCAAGTTTATGCATATATTAACACCCAGGCTAGTTGTCTGTACGATTGTTGTAACACTGTTCAACCAAAAACAATGCCTCTACGGCGTTTTGAAAATAAACACATTGTCAATCATTTGTGAAAATTTCAAAACAAAAGGTCAAAGCGTCTAGAAGCTATTTTTTTTTTAAAGTTCTGGGATGTGCACTAAAAAGAAGCCGAGGTAATTGCTAATTTGCATATTAAACAATTCACTCAATAAGAAGTTTGCTAATGCTCATAATTAAAATGGCTGTAACAGTTCCAAATTTAAATGTACCGGGTATTATCATTTTGTTAAAAGTTAAATATAGTGCATAATATGGAGATCCCGTCATTTCTTTTTTTCACCATGTTTCTTTTTCATTATTTATGTACAGCCTTGCTAAATCTTGCTAAGCATTCAAAAGAAAGAATGTTTGCACCTCTTATTTATATCGTTTTTTTTGAGTATGTTCCACTATTCAATTCTACAAAATTTTAACAGTCTATAGCCAAGCAATAAAAAAAATTTCACTCCAAGTGCCCACGAACCTGCATCTCTACCTTAATGATCTTGTTCAATATCTTGTCATCTTATCCTGTGAGCAGTAACCAATTTGATATTATAAATTACATTCAAGTGTGCATAACAATTTTGCACAAAGACCAGAAAAAGACTTAGCATCTTTCGTTCTTTATGTAGAAACTGACGACTGGTTCTGTATGCATCATGTACAATTTCTTTGTCTTACAGATATACTCGGTGGAGTACGGCAGTGTACATTTACCATTGATGCAGATCATGTCTATTCCATCGAGAGAAACTGTCGAAATGGACTACTTGCTATGTGTTGGATATTTTAATTCTGTCATGTTATATCATGCTGGAAAGGCAAGTTTTAAAATATCATTTCAACTTCTCAATGCAAGGTGTTCTGGAATTCAAAAAGATGGTACCGTAGGTATATACCGGTGTATGGTCATGAGTCAAAGCCTCAAAAGACCATTATGGTTGATGTTGCTGCATTTTGCATGTGTACATTACAAAAAAAAATGTCTAATCTCTCATTCTATCCGCCTTTTGGCACTGATAGAATGCATAATGGGATATTGTGTGATGTTGATGATGCTCCTGGGTATAGATACAAGGAGAATATTAATATTAAAACTGAGATGTTTATCCATGCAAAAAAAATAAAAATAATGTAAAAAAGTTAATTATTCACAGGGTTTCAATTTAACCCAGTGAATATGTAAAATTTAGCATAGAACACATTATCTAAATGATGAAACCATGAATTTAAAACCCACTAAATATGCCTGAAATGCTAAATCAGTGAAATTTAGTCATTTTACAGTAGATGAAAATGTTTCATATTACGATTTACATTTTCTTTTTTCACCATTTTGCAGCTCATCACGAAATACATAACATCAGACTGGGTTAACTCCATGGCAACCGCTGATGTAGATAATGATGGAGAGACTGAGGTTATTATCAGTTGCCTTGACAACTCCATTCATTTTCTCAAAGTTGCATGATAGCTGGAATGAACTGCGTAATTGAAAGCTGATGAGATATATTGAATTCACAACACGATGTAAACAAGCTGTATATGAATATTATAAAATTTTGACTAATGTAGCCATAATTGACTGATCAACTAAGCCTTATATATGTCACTCTTATTTTCAAAGACTCGTATAAAGTAGAATACTATATCATGCAGTCTATTATGTACATCTTTGCTAGACAAGGTTCAGTAATCTCCTTACCATTGTACCTTTGCAGAATTCCCATTATAAATCTGTATTCACTGTCAACAAAGTTAAACGTAACATAACAGCACATGCCCTGATGTATTTCGATGGTAAATAGAACGTGAAGTCTCATGTTTAACTGGCAGTGCTTCTTTTATTAAAAAATGGTTGCCAAGTATGATCATCTGCACCTTGAGGGTTTTAGTTTCAAATCTATGCATATTAATTGCCTGATTTGCATATTAAACACTCAAACATACTTTTTGCACAAGATGTGCAGTCCCATCCAAGATTTAGAAAGCATCACAAAAAGAAATTACTGGATTCACAAATTTTTAAGTTTGTATTTATTTCTGATAAAATGTAGCAAATGTTTTTTTTCACTCAGTCTGTCAGGTATGGCAGTATAAGTAGAATCAGTGGTACAAATAGCACAATACAGATCAAAATAAAGACTGACAGGTACGTGATATTGACCTGGTTGGCAACTATCTAATAACACCCAGTTTGTAAAAGTTCAATATTGACACCAATTTGCTCTTTGAAGTACACGTCAAGTTAATTACTTATAAAAACAGCTAATGTCTTATGATTGTGTTGTTGGATTTCCCTCGAAATAGAAAAACTGCAAAAGTTTCCTTGTTTATTTGTTATTTTTATTGTTTAGATATCATATTGTCTAAAAAAATCTAGACCATCTGGTATAAATTTTCATTTGTAGAACCATCTGCCCCAGGAATAACAGGATCAGTATTTTGTGATTTTTAGTAACCTGCGACCAGAACACTGCTAATGACGACTCGTATCCCAGAATGCACAGCCGTGGACAAAAACCCTACAGACGCGTGTAGTGGTGTACACACTAGTGTCCCAATCTTGAAATGAACCGACAGAGACCGGAATGTTTAAAAAGTGTGTTTCTAGACAGGGTTGAATGCCGTAGTGGTTACACATAAAAATAACATTGTGGTGTTAATGGCATGGAGTGAGTGCTGGATGCCGTCTCCGGTCCAAAGAGGAGGGAGGGACGGTGACACAAGTGACTGGTTGTACAGGATACAGGACGGTATGGTTCCCGTGATGTGTATACCAAGAACCATACAGGCCCATAGAGTCCATACATTTGGCTCGTTAACTGTACCAGATGTGAACACAGGATCAGAACCATATAAACCAGAACAGTACCCAGGCTAAATAGAAACACAGGTATAGAATCTCCACTAAATGTAACTGGTCTAACACAAGTAAGGGATCCATAATGAATGCTTGTAAAGAGTCCATAACAAAAATATGGAAAAATTACATACCCCCATTCTGAATCCGTAACAGTTATCGTATCAAAATACTTAATACCTTTCTATGAGAAAATTACAGGAAACAGACAAATCCACAGATTACAGGAAGCCTAGCTTTATAGAACCGCACCACAGACCATATGGAGTCCATACAAACATGTGGTTACTGTACAGAAAGGCAGAAAAAAGCAGTAAAGATCAAGTCCAAAATGATTTGATGGAGATCTTGCCAATAAAGTTTCACCAGACCGAGACAAGGGACCAACACAGATGAAGCCTAAAAGTAAATTTGACGCACAAGGTTGATGTGGTCATGAAGACGCTAAAACATGTCCAGCTCTTTACAGCAATGTCGATGCATGGATAAACCGTTATTACATTGACACCAAACCAAACCAGACAAATACTGGAGCAATTACTAACAGTGTATCAATAAACCTGCTTAGCTAATGTGAAGTATTGAAAGTGGTAGGATACACGTGGCGATCCTTAGTGTACAACCTGAGAAGGGAAAAGACTGATTCGCATATGAGCAATTCCCAGGGTGCTTGGTGTTGCTAAGAAACCAAGAGACCCCCCTAAAAATTCAAACCCATTGGTCTAGATTTTGCAGCAACAACACCCATATTTATCTCATTTAAAGAACATCGAAACAATACCAATTAGTGGTAGCAATTGGCTAGTAATTACATTGTTTTGGCGCGTGTTCGTTTTTATTGAAGATACTAAATGAGCAAATCAAGTCCGCACAGGTAAATACACTATATAGGACTCGCTGTGATATGATACGGACACACAGTGTCCACTACCAATAGTTATTATAATAACCCAATATATTACACAATGTAATATTGGCCAGGTATTACAGTGCTGACCAACGAATTTACAGTGAACGTGCCAGGCAATATAGGCTGGTACAATATTTGACGCACAATGCAATATTTGGGCCCACGATCATCAAGGTTAATATGCATGTATAAATCAATGGCTAACAGTTGATTACAAATAAGTAACTTACTCACATACAAGCATGCACAGTGTATTGAAAATGTATGAATACAGGGCTGACAAAAACGGAGAAAAAAAAAAATGGAAACTAACAGCACACAAACTCATTATTCAAAAGGTATTTACGTCAATTTCGAAGAGAAGGGGGATCATTCATGTTCTTCGTTGCATCTCTCTGCAAGTAAGAAAATTACCCATCTACCAGAATTGATGCTAAGTATACTTTACGGTGTACTCCAAATGATCATTTCAAAATAAAAAGTTTCAGAGATTACGACATAATGCAAAGTACAAAAAAACAAAATACTGTTCAAGATTTGAAAACCATTATTAAATTATATAGAATATAGAATAAAAGAATTTAAACAAATAAGTATAGATATTTACAATATTAACAATAACACTATCAAGTACTGTAAAATACTTTATTTTTGCCAGCAATTAATTTTCGCTGAAGAAATGATTCAGTGAAAATAAAATCCTATATTTTACATTCAACGTGTCAAAAATCAGGGAAAATAAATTCCATACCAAACAGCGAAAATTAATTCCAGTTAAAATAAAGTATTTTACAGTAAATTAAGTCTTCGACAAAAACTATTAAACTTGGTATGCAAGATCCATATTTGTTCTAGATGCGCTTGATATGTAAATGAGCTATTAAAAAAAGTTACCACAGATGGTAAAGTGAAAGTTGGAGAGTTAATGCGAAGCTACATAAAAGATTGTACCTGATTGGCTACCCAACCACAACTACAAACAGACTGACCAATCAGAAAGTTGCTTGTTTGATGACAAGTATTTTTTTTTGTTGAAGTACTAAATGCTTCGACCCACCTGGTGTTTTATGTACTTGAAAATCCAATCAAAAATGATTTTTGGGGCTTTCATGTCTGCTTTTGATAGAGAAAATATAGAAAATGAACTTAAAAGTTGTGAAGCTGTCTACTACCAAGTTGATATTATTTAGATTATTGAAACATTAGGATAAATTATCCTGGATTATCGAGTTATATTGCATCAGTCACATGTTTATAGTAATATGTCAACTGATATCTATATTGCAAACAATGTGCTAGGCATAGATACTTTTAAACTACAATGTATTAATCAGCTTGTATTGGTGTGACCAAATCTGACTACCAGTAATTACTAATCTCACATGGTATATAACCATCTGTGCATATGAAATAATATTCAATGAAATGAGCTTCTATTTGTATATGTCTACTATTCTACAAACTGTAATCACAACCTTGTTTCTCTGCATGAACAGCTGTGACTTTATTTTCCTGACTCTGGCCATATGACAAAACGCATAATGCAAAGCTGACGAATACATCACTGACAAAAAATGATACAAACATGTGTTCACATCCTGTATCAAAACAAAATAATTATGATACAAAAACATTCAAAATGCAAGATGTTGAAAATATACACATCTGAAGCAACTGTGTCTGCTCAATATTTTTGTAGTACAAAAATAATAAAAACACCCACAGTCATGGAATTTGCAGTAAGCTAAGGTGTCCTCTTTGTGTAATAGAGAGCGTAACCATGTTTATAATTTAAAAGCATAGTGTTATAATATTGTTTTGATTTACACATTCTTGGTTTTACTATTTACAAAATATGTCTAAGACTCAGTGGTGCATCATAATTACTTACATTTAATATTACAATACACAAAACCTGCATAGATAGCGTTAACAAATAAATTGCACAATTAGTCTCTGACAGTCTTACATGTTTTATTTACGCTACCAAAACAAATGCCGCTGCAACTGACAAATAAATAAATAAATAAATAGTCTGATCTTTAAAAAAAAAAAATTCTGTAAACAGAAAATTTAATGTAGCCACAAGTTTTTGATAGAGTTGATAAGTTCTTAGGTTTCAACTAAGTATTCACTGATGGCGATTATGTGCTGGGAGGGAGGGGGACTATATGACTGTTTACTTAGAGTGGCCATTGATACTAAGAAAAGTTGAGTCAATAAGAAGTGCCTGTTAGCGGCTGATTGGCTACCCAATCGTAACACCTAACATTTAAACCAATCAGAGAGCAGTTTGTTTGGTGACAGGTTTGTTTCAACAAATCAAATTTTTGTCTTATATATATGTCTTTTCTTAACTGGAAAATATCTTCTGTGAGTGACATATAAGCAAGAACCCAAAATAAATTATGTCACATTTGTTAGTTGAAACGCAACATGTGCTGACGTACACAATGAAACATCTTTATTATCATTTTTGTTTCTAGTGATTAAACATTGTTATGAACTCTGTACACTTGAATATTCCCAATATCCGAGCTTTTAGAAAATCACCTAACGAATGAGATTCCTTCATGTACGGCAACTTTTGTGATATTTAATCCTAGCGAAGACTCAAAAATTATCGAACCAAGAACATTTCAGCAGTCAACATTGTGATGGTTTACAGAGCTACAGGCTGACTAACTAAATGCGTTCATTTCACAGACACCCCAAGTTGATTAAAGCCCAATAAATGCTTGTGGTATCATCTCCGAGTATAGCTTGTGCTCTTTTGACTGCTTTAAATCTTGTGACACTATTTTTGTCTGTAAGGATGGTCACTATAAAATGCGACTTACTAACTTGTGACTTGATCAACTAATTTATGAATGTGCGGTACAATTAAAGAGACGCACATCTCACGTAAAACAAACAAAAATATAGTTCACGCACAATTGTATACATCACGCTGATCGTGACAAGATCCAACAACTGTTGCACTTTAATATCGAACTACTAAACTCGCGACTGGTTATTAAAACTTGTGACTAAATAATATGACAACCCAACTTGTGACTACATGACTAATTACCAATGATGCCCCTAACATTTCACTTTCTGGTTAAGGACAAAAGCATCAAGGTATTCTCTAAAATTTTACTGAGGCGAAATTAAGTGGCCAGCCACTACTTACTTGAAGAAAACCACTGTTTAAATGATGCCATAGTACAATTTGATTGACTCCTCAGCATGTAAGTAATGATGACAATACTGCACAGGAATAACAAAAAAAATGTAAGGTAAAATATAAGGTTGGGTGGTGGCTATTTTTTTTTTTTTTTTTTGGCAGTATGGTAAAAAAATAATAAAGAACAATAACAGGAGTAAAAAAAAAACAAGCTGAATAAATAACAGAAATTTCACAAGTAAAAATAATTTTCAGATGGTGGATACTCAATCCTAATACTTTAGTCTTGTTCATTTAATACTGATACATCAGTAATATCCACTGCATTGCTCCCAAATAACTTACATTGAGCCATGGGCAGTACTGATTTAAACACAGCAATAGGTCCACCATGGTTATCACTCTTGTCGCATGAACCACCAAGCCACGTTGCTTAGCAACCATATGCACTGACTGGTCCATTTCACAGCACCTTTTTTTTTTTTTTGCTCACAAGGAAGACATTCGTTTGATGATTCTCAATGTTTATTCTTTCAGTGCGGTGCCTCGCTGTACGCGAACATCAAAACAGGGAAATGTCTCATGTGGGTTGACCACTGTGCTGATATCTGGAAAAACTTAACGCTCGGCCAATCAACGCCATCTATGCTCACTGAAAAACAAAACAGAAAATTATATGTATACGTGTGGGATCAAAAGCTACCTGTACAATAAAAAAACCTTACTCAAACAATACAAGGATGTGGATGTAAAAAGTTTCCAGCTATTCAACAAATATTGGGAATCGCTTTTTTTGAACATTTTTTGAACTCAATTTTGTAACAGACACCAATTCACTCTAAAGATCTTACGAAATAGTCATTTTCGCAAAATGTCATTATTATGAATGCCTTTAAGGTAGAGATGCAGGTTCGTGGGCACTTGGGAGTGATTTTTTTTTTTTGCTTTTTATTATCCAAACAGTCTTGGCTATAGACTGTTAACATTTTGTAGAATTGTGAATAGTGGAACATACTCAAAAAACGATTTTAAAATATAGATAGCAGGTGCAAACATTATCTCTTTTGAATGCTTAGCAAGATTTAGTAAGGCTGTACATAAATAATAAAAAACAAACATGGTGAAAAAAAGAAATGACGGGATCTCCATATTATGCACTATATTTAACTTTTAACAAAATGATAATACATTTAAATTTGGAACTGTTCGGGCATTGTACAATCGTACAGACAACTTACCTGGGTGTTAATTTATGCATAAACTTGAAATAGTGAAATTTGAGCTACTGCCCTGCAAAATTGACAACTGGTAGACAGTTTTCAAGATGGCACTTTCTTCATAGTAAACAGATGTATCCATAAACAAATTTTGACAGGAAACATGGTTTAGAAGCTAATTTTTTTTGAATCGTTTTTGACCTTAGTAGCACATTTTTGTGTCCATAAAAAAAAAAAAATACTAACATTTTAAAATTCATACAATAAGCTTTCCGAAAATGTATAGTTTTGTGGACAAGGGAGATCATCTTGGTTTCCTAATTAACTAATTAAAATACCTGTCAGGTAAACTGCATCTCTACCTTAAATTGTCAACATTTCTGGAGAGTTTTTTATTTATGTTTATACTAAACATGTACAGGGATGCATCTTACCAGTAAGAGGATTTGTGTGATTTTTACACATACATATAAGACGATTTATTCCTTCAACGATCTGACTTTTGGGTTCGGCTTCTTTCTGTTTCTTACCAATACGCATGACTAAAACAAAGAAAGAATTAACAAATTAATGCATTGGTCACTGGTAGCATAGTGGTTGTTGCATCAGACTCATGATCAGTAGACCCAAGTTCAAATCCTACTTTAGGCTGAACATCAAAAGGGTTGACCCATACCCTGGGTGAGTGTACCACAGACTCAATTCACAAATGCCAATTCCACTGGCCATGATTCATTCACTTACAAATGCGACTTTGGGGGAACTTTGGTTAAGGTCCGCAGGTGCTTTTGTTCGACCAAGCCTGGTTGACGCCAGGATAGCGCATTAAATTGCCATTTGATAGGAAGATGGCCACACAGCCCTGTCATGTAGTCCCAAATATGAATATGACTTCTGTGGCAAAAATGCACCATGTGTCAGCACTTGCAATTTGCACATACAAAATGTCAGGAGAGACAACAGTGACATTCAATGTCCAGGACTGTCGCCTGGCACAAAAAACATTTAAAAAAAAAGGAAAAATTAATGCATCAGAAGACACCAATTTCAATTCACCTTCATTTGTGGAAAGTTCTAGTAAAAATAAAACATATTTAACCTTTTGAGAGACAAAGATAACTTCAGAGCCTTCTTAATACCGGCAAATATGAACACAGCAACAAATACAAATACGAATAAGTTTAGGTTCCACTGTATCAAACTGATGAATACATATATTTATCATATACCTAGTATTGCCTCGCCTCGTAACGTAACAGGGAATGTGCCCTTACAACAGGGAAAAATCACCTGTATCAAGCCGGTCCGAAGAGCCCGTTTTCCATCAATCAAAACTAAACACGTCATTCTAAATCACGACGTGTGTTTGAGGTCACGCCATGATTACACCTATTTAGTATATGGTACCGGTATACCCTTTATAGAGTGGATATGCCTTTTGCTGCCCTCGGTTGTACAGCTTACACACCCTTGCAAGGTTGAGCACTCCTGCTGCATGACCTTTGGCCACAAAGCCTATCCAGTCCATATAGATTAAGATATATATATATATATATATATACAAAAATGGCCACCTGTCAGACATTTTTTGTGCCAGGTTTGAATCAGATTGTGATCTGGAGATCTTGAAATTATACCTGTACAGTTGAAGAGCTATGCACATATGTAAAATAAATAATGGTGAATTAAATCGGCACAAGCACCACACAGCACATTTAAAATGCAACTTACTTTTCTTGTTTTTCTCTTTGATGACAATCCCCATGGACAACGTCGATGTCAGAGTAGAGTCCCCTGCACTTGGTAATCGGCACACACTAAGGGATCGGAAAGCGGTCTTTAACGACGATTTCATTGCACTGTCCTTGAATTTCCCACCCCCGCTACCACCGCTACCACCAGCAATTCCACTGCTACTGCTGGGAATTGTGCTGGTCCAGTACTCTACTTGTAAGTCCATTAGTTCACCAAGAATATGACCAGTGCTCGGGGATGACGCTGGGCTGCGAATAAAGAGATTATTCAGTGCTAAACTTTAATGCTGATTTCAAGCCTGATATTAGCGATACAGAGCTTGATATAGCTAATATCCCAAATATATTAAATGCTTCTGGCTAGGTAGTATAACAAACTTCAATCTATGATATACAAATTAACAGATGACTTTGTGAAATTACTCTGTAAAAGGGTTAAATGCATTTGATAGATCTAATTTGTTTTGTTCTTCTCAGAGACAATGTTGCACAGTGAGGTCTTCAGGCTATGTAAACTACAAAGCTTAGTAATCCACGGATCTCAAATCTCTGTCTTCATTATTCAGTACACTGATCTACCACCTCTTACTCCAGGCTAACATTTTATGAAATATTGATAGATTTGGTTACAGCAAATTAGGTCACTTTTACCCCCAATAATTATTAAGTTGAATTTTGTTTTTTGGAAAAAGAAAATAAATAGTTTATCTGCTTTTCCTGCTTTCCAGTGACTAAAAGAAATTGGTGGTTATCTTTTCATTGCTTAAATTTATCTGCACTCCAGGCTTTCCAGTGACTAAAACATTTGTGTTGTAGCATTATACATTGATTTAAGTGAAAGCCCAGCTATGATGAAGTGACTTTCACTTTTTTTAGACAGCAAAGACAGAGAATCTACTTGACGGCATATGGCTCTGACAAAACCACAATCCTTTTTGTTGTATGCATTAATCATGAACAGGATTTTATACTTAATAATGCCAAAGGGGAAAGCCTGTCTCATACACATAACTGTAATCCTCTTAACAACTATGATAAGTGTGTTATTGTACATGTATGATGGCGTCAGCGATATTCCAGTGGATCAGAGTTTGATGTGCAATCATCAATATTATTATCAAAAGTTAATTGGTGAAATGGCTGTACAAAGTCAACTGAGTATTAAAATGTCAGGTTTTGTTTTTTTTAAGTAAAAAGAAAACATTTCATCACCGTGAGTAAAAAAAACAAAGACAAACTTGAATAAAAATATTTCATTAGCAAAATGTAGTGAGCAGTTTGATTACTGACAAGGAAAATAAGAAAGTAATGGTGAAAACAATTCATAGAAAAAAAACAAATTTGATGTAATTTCAACGAATCTGAAAGTACAAACTCTCAAAACCCGTAGTACCCATATGTATAACATCAAAGCAATCAGGCTTGTACCGGTAGTTTTCGAGAAGAAGTCGAAAAAATGGATGTGGACATCAAATACAGACAATCACTCATATGTTAAGCTCCACTCGACAAAGTCAACAGCAGGGCGAAAAAATTGACGTGGACAATTACACGTATGCTCGGCAAAGTCGACAACAGAGCTAAAACACCTGTCTTACAGTATTGAATTCAAGACTGTACCTGGATTGCTGCGGTGAAACTATGTTAATGGCAGGACTTGGTGGCGGTGTATTTGACTCTTTGACTGCTGTTCCAACGCTGCTCCCAGCAACACCGACAGCACTGATAGCAGCAGCATTAGGTGGACTTGATGATAATGCATTTGAAATTTGAATTCCAGCTTCTTCCCAATCCCCTACACAAATATATACACAAAATAAAAATTACTTTAAAGCGGGAGGGTTGTCACTTGTGCATGTGCGGAAATTGAGCCCCAAGCGACGATAACAACACACACTAAAACGCAAAGGCTCATGGGTAGACGCTTGTTTGTAAACATTGACACAGTATGGCCACCTGACGCATGCGCAGGTGACAACTCCCCCATTTAAATTATTTGTATCCCTGCATGCAATTAAGATACAAAAAGTGAAAAACATTTAACGAATTCGGGTCACCAGAATAATTACCAAGAAACAGAATATGAATCCTGCTCTATCAAATATTTCAAAAACTGATATTTAATCTTGTGAGTTTCAATGGTGATAACATTTTTCCATTGAATTTACTTGAAGTACTCTCCAAAATGCATTGTACATATGCACTCAAAGGAAGTTAATGTGTTTCAAACTAGTGCAGCTTATTAGTATAAAGTCTTTTGTTAACTTTTAAAGCAAGCAGAAAATTAAAGAAAAAACTGTAAACTTCTTATACCTAAGTAAAGAAGACATGTTTGTAAAATATACATACTCATCCATCCATCCACCCACACAACCAAACCCAACATCGAAATCATGAAGCACATTGACCACATTGAAAATCAATTCCAGAAGACACAAACCATGTACAGTTACTGAGTTACAGGTGTACAATCAACAAATAGGTATTAAAGTCTGAACATTTCTTACCTGACAAAGAGTGTGTTTCTAAAGATCCAGCTCTGACATCCTGTAAAGTCAATTTAAGACAGGTTTGAAAAAAAATGCTGTACACACAGAATACCATACAACACGGTCAGGTGTGTATTTTCAATATGGTAGTCAAGAACACAACCAAGATAACAAGCTATGCATGGCACAGTCCTGATTAGTTATCAAATCTAAGTTATATAGTTTTGTTTATAGTAATATATATAGTACAAGTACTTATAGCAATATAGCTCTGGAACAGCATTACCGACATTGAAACAAAATGGCCATCGGTCGGCCATTTTGAATCAGATCGTTAAAACAATACATCTGTTTATCTATGACATGATGTATAATGAATATATAAAATATAAAATCAGTCGAAGCATGTCAAAGATATGGCACTAGAACCATATTCATTAAAACAAAATAGCTATTAGTCAGTCATTTTTAATCCGGTCTGAAAAACAAAATGACGTGCATCAGGAACCTATAATGTCTGTACCAAGTTTGAACGAATTCCATCCATACACAACCAAGATCAAGTTCCACAATGCCAGAAATGCTTGATTTTTGCTAATTTTTTTTTACAAAAATGACCACCATTCGGCCATTTTGTATTGGATCATTTTGAATTGGAAAACAAAATGATGTGCATCCCATAATGTCCAATGTATATACCAAGTTTGAACAAAATCCATCTGTAAACAGCCGAGAAATGCTTGATTTCAATGATTGTTCAGTACAAAATAGCTGCCATTCGGCCATCTTGAATCAGACCGTGAAACAAATTCATGTGCATATGTATAATATTATGTATGATGTATGTGTGAAGTTTGAATTTAATTGGTCCAGGCATGTCTGAGATACAGGTTCGGATGCACACACAAATGCACAGAGGTCAATCTATATGTCCGAATGGGGACTAATAAACCATCCAATAAAATATCACATATATGGTTTGCGTCAGGTTTTACACAGTCCATTCCCACTTGACATGTACTGCACATGTCCTCCACACAAGAATGTCCGCTATTTAGGTTGAGTGATTTATAAATATGATGAATGTGGGTATACATGTATTTACTAGAACAATACAAATCAGTCCATGTTGAAAACAGTTGGAACAAATTACTGGTTAAAGTAATACATAATACCAGTCAAAACTTGTTCATGCACCGGAATTTGATAGTGATGTAAAACCAAACCTGATTGACAGACTTTTTATTCACTCAGAATGAAACCTGTCTACCTATAAACACTACAGAGATTGATGAAATTCTTTCAGCCGATGGGGGTGTTTCGTTTATGGTGGTTTCTTACAAAAAAATCTATGGAGATCAGACTTGAAATTACCCTGATAGTGTTCATTTCAAACACAGGGTTTGGATATGACAGGTAACATAGTAGGTATACGTAGATACAAAGCTATAGCTATGTAAACTACTCACATTAATAAATGGCACAAATTTTTGGACTGAGTCTTCCTCCGAATTACTTCTATAATTGACCATAGCTTCTGCGATTGGCAGTGAGAAGACATTAGATGCATTGTTTAGATATGTATCCACTCGCAGAACTAGTTCATTATAATCTGAAATTAAGAAATTAAAAAAAAAAATCTTAGCTGGTGTCTTCAATGCAAAGGGGTGAGATACTGTAAACTAATTAATTTTCGTTGACTTGATCAATTTGAGGGCTCTCGTGAGAATAAATTTTTAAAGGTTGCTGGCTTTAGGATCCAAATGAAAAATTCACTCCTATGTGAAATATTTTCGGGTTTCACAAATTGTACTATCAATGTAATATCATTGTGAACAGCATCACAGAAATACAGACACTGTTAGGTGACAATTCAATACACAACCTGTGTACCATTTATTTCCAAAACGATACTACCGTAAAATCTGTATTAGAAGTCGCATCCCTAATAGAAGTCGCACCCATTTTTTTAAAAAATTGGGAATCAAAAATTCATCATTTCTCATATGTGTAGATGCTCTAATAGAAGCCGCATCCTCTCTGTTGTATTGTACCATTTTAATAGAAGCCGCGGCTTCTAATACAGATTTTACAGTAATACAGCGGTAACAAAAAAAAGCGACTGGTACATTATTGAAGTAAAAAAAAACATGAAGAGAACTGAATCTGAACAGAAGTAAAACAAACACTGATTGGTCAATCAATATGTGGACATTAGATTGGTTCTAATTAACATAATTTATGCATTAACACTTGAATATCTCCATCATTACTACAACATCAAATATAACGATAATAAGTCTGAAATTAATAATAATAATAATAATGTTCACGACAATCATGCCCAAATCTCTGACTATTTTGCTTTGATAATCCGAGTCAAATAACCTCATGAATATTTAATAAGATGATGTAATGTTTCATGATGAGATGGCCATTTAACAGTACTGGATACCTCCTTTTGACCTACGGTTCAATATTCCACCCACCTGTATTTTCTTTATCCGTTTTCTCAAATGAATCTCTCCATACAGAATCCATAAATAAAGCATTATATTTAGGGTCTATTGATGCAAGATATTTGGCAAGACTATTGGCACCTGTAAAACAAAAAACAAATTATACGGTTAAGTAGTATAGTTGGGAAGGATGAGGAAAATCCATCCAGTCACTAAGGCAACAACATTCATTGCAAAAGCTTGTTATTAATTCACCTACCTAGTGGTATTATAAGAAATCTAATATAGTTCTGCCAATCAGGTGATTTGGCCGAAAATTGCTCCACATACGGCCGGAGTACATTGTTAACATATGCGTCGTTTCCAGCCACGGCAAGTTTCAGTGGCGGTGGATTTGCCGAATTGCTGTTGCAACTGAAATTGTAATGCATAAATATGAACAAATTATCAATAACGGGAATATTGGGATGGTGAATAAAGGGAAATTCATTCATAAAAATCTTAATTAAAGTTGAACCTTATCCCGTATTTATAAATGTAGTTAAACAGATCAAACTATAGAGGGCGCTCTACAATACTTTCTTCCTTTCAACAAACTTAATATTAAAAATAAAATCTCTGCATCTATCATAAAAAAATGTTATCATTATCGTCATGGTAATAATCTGAACAGCGTTAAGGAATGGGTTCATGCAAAACACCGACTACAGCTAAAGTGTGTAATGTGAAAGGAAGGACGAGGGAAACAAAAATGACAGTAGTAATAATAATAATAATAACGATGATAAACGAACTAAATAAATGAAATAATAAAAAGATGCACTAAAAGGGAGTGAATACAACACCTTGTGATCCGCTTGGTCTTGGGGCCATTGTTTCTGTGTTAATAAAAACAACAAACATTCCGAACATAAACTTACTTTCATGCAATATTAATTAAAAACAATCAATGGGTGAATTAAATTAAAACAATAAAGCACAAGGTGGAGCGGTCAATCAAAACCCTTTCTTTTATCAACAAAAATAATAAATGATTCTTTTTTCGTGTGTAAAGTTTGTACAATTTGGTGGAAAAGGTGTTAATTGGAAAGGTTTACCGAAACAAGCAATGGCACGTACTACAAACGACATATCAGCAACACAGGTGATTATATATGGCTAACAAGACTTTTGGCATATCGCTGTTTACAGATCAATTTTTTTTTTTAATTATTATTATTAATGAGCATGTTCACTTTCTTGTTTACTTACAATTTCTGTATTCTGTTGACGATAAAAGCAAACGTGGCCTGCACGTCTGCACTGCAACATGTACACACGACTCTATGCTGGTCTTCTTCCAGGGCTTGTGACAGTAGCTAAGCAAAATAAAGCGTAGAAACGTGAATTTGGTTTTCAAACTGGCACCCCGAATGAACACCATTTGTGATTTATAAAAAGTGGTATGCAATTTACCAAACCATTTAACTGAATATGCTTTGATCTGTTTATTCCATAATCCCTAGTGCTTATTTTTTTTTTATTAATAATAAACCATTTTATAAATATATCAGGCTGTGTGTCTTACCTGTCCCTGCCACTCGGCAGTGTTCATTAATATGATGTTGTCTGGTATCTGGTCTTCTAATGACCAGACATTGCTCAGCTGATCTGGTAACGATCGTCTCGGCTGCTGAAAAATATAACAGAGGGTGGCACTCATTTATTAAAATGTTCATAATAATAAAAAAAAATTTTAAGTGACTTTATAAAGTGATAACAGTATACTAACATAAAACATAATGACGTTATTCAAAAATAACACTAAATGACTGTATGGTATCTACCTACCATATATAAAAGTCAAAACAAGAACAAACTTTCTTACAAGGTCTACAGTTTTACCCAGATCAAGACCCACAATTTTTACCTTATTATCAGCATGACCTGCACTGTTCCGCCTCTGTAACGCTCGGATATCTTTTGATATTGTACTCTTCTCACGTAAAGAGATACTTCTGTCTCTTATAAAGTTGGTTCTGCTTGGTGGTGTTGCTGGTCTTGTGTTTGTGTTGTCTTTGCTGGGACTGTTCACTAGCGACGCAATACTGATCTCATCTTCGAGGCATTCCTAGCAAGAGAGCGAGAGATGAATTATGAATGGAAAACATTTGTAACATGGTTGGATAAAAATAAAACAATAAACTGAAATAAACTGATCGGGAAAACTAGTATCTTCCTATCAATTTCCCTTGAACAATATTCATATCAAAAATTACATATTAGATGGTCGCACTATAACTTATGTATGATAGTGATCAAATAATAACTCAAGTTCAAATATAGAATACAAATACAAGTCAATAATTCACCATTTTCATATTTCATTGCATTGCGCTTTCACTCAAAATCTGACTTTTGAATCCAAATCCATAAATTGCATTTTAAACATTTTACAAATAAATGAACTCCATGTCTAAATGTTACAACTATGAATTCCTTGATATGTTGGATAAATGAATATTAATATGTGTACAGTCGCAGATACTACCACTGACATCTGACCTAAACAAAATTTGTCTTTGGTGTTCCATATTCAATCTGTTTTTGGCTTCTAAATATGTTCAGAAAAAACATACGTTTCAAATTCAAATCTTTGTTTTTTTCATTGGTTGCCATAGTGAAAAGTAGTTTCTCAGTGACATGGGCTGTTATTGATAATCAAATGTTTTAAAAATATTTGTCTATATTCAATTGGAATTTCTCTCCCACAATGCAATGTAACATTGCTCAGTTGTAAAGTTGGCTTAAAAAATAGATATGAAGGTGAAAGGTCACACATAAAGGTTATGTGTCATAGGTCAGGGGTCACGGTTACCTCTCTCTGGTGGGCAAAATCATCATTTTCATCGCTAATTATACTATTGCTGTTTGACAGTTCCCGCTCTTCTAACTGCAGATTGGATGTTGAAATACCGTGGGTACTTCCAAAGAAGGGCCTGTAGAGTTGAAATTATTCATTAGCATAAACGCAATGTGAGCAGTAGCATAAATATATATTGCATATAAACATACTTCTGTAATTTATCTGTTAAGACCAGGACATGTTTCTAGTCAATTTGTTTTCTAAAATCAGTGCCGGTGCATGTTTTTGTTTTGTTTTTATGGTGAAAAAAAAATTTTGCTTTTACTTTGATTTTCAAGAAAATTGAACATTTCTTTTTTGAAAATTATGATGAAAACATTTTTGAAAAGCTGTGACACACACATTTTCAATGGAAGTGTACAATACACTGAAACATGAATATTTTATTGTGTTCTGCCCTGAGTAACAATCATAACATATGTTGACATTTTAAGGAAATATTTTGTATGCATACATTAATGCATATATGTTTAAATATATTTAACTTTTTGTATTAAATTTAATGTGTGAAAACCAGGTTAAATAACCATTTTCTAAAAGCCAATTGATGTTTTCACAGTGGAAATTGTTGTAGAATGTTGTTGAATGCATGAAACAGATTTTAATCACAGTTCAGATGAGAACGATGGCCTGAAACTCAACTGCGTTTATTGATTGACATCCAAAACATGGAGGCCTGATGAATGCAGATTACCAGACATATTTCAATGTCAGCTGTGGTACCTGAGACAAATCAGGCACTTTTTTTTTTACATTTTGTTTCATTTACTTTCTGTTAGTCTGAATTGAACGACCTGACACATTGACATATAGGCAACAAACGTGATTAATGTTTCTCAATACTGTTTGAAATGAAATATATTTTTTAATGAAAATAAGTTTTGTATATGGCATGAGCACAAACCTAAGGTTGCAACCTGCTATGCTGTAGGGAAAAATGTAAGAAAATTGCATTCTGTGTAGAAAAAAAAACTATTACAGAATCCTGTGTGTGAACACCCTAGCCTAGGGAACAATTCAATCAAAGCAGCCAAACAAAGCAGTTGGTTATTACCAGTAATAGACTACGAGCAGTTTCTGCTTGAACATTACAATTTTTTATTCTGCTTAATCTGCTTTAATGAGAAAGTTTTTAAAAGTTTTGATAAAAACCTATTAACTTTCTGTCTGGTACAAAATCAGTATTAAATTCAGAAAAAATTCAACAAAAACAAAATTGTTATACAATTTTAGCGGGAAAACTAATTGAGTGTGTTTTCATTACCTCAGAACAGGCTTTGGTGTTGATTCTATACTCAAGTTATCGTCCATATCAGGACCACTATCGCTCACGTTCAAATCATCAATGTCATCATCAAAATCATCGTCTACGACTGGCTGATCTTGATCGACGTATAAATCAGGTTCAACTTCAACTTCTTCAGCCACTTTAAATTTCTTTAATAATGCTATGAACTTTTGTTTAAAATTTCTTTGCTGTTAAAAAGAAAAAAAAAATTAAGTAACTGCATATACATGTAAATTAATGTTATACATTAAATTATACATTACTTTCTAAACATGTGAACTCTTGAGCAATCAGCGGTGAGCTCAGTGGTCAACAACCACCTTCACTATTAATCAATACCCCGAAATTGCAGGGTTATCCTTTTTTTTCATATTTTAAAAACATTCCATTATTATCATTTGATTCTAAGATAGATACTACAATTCATTGCAATATACCATGTTTTAAATAGTGAAATATTTTCCTAAAAGTAGAGTAGATAAAATATATAACTTACCCTGCTACTGGCTCTAAGTTTACCTCGAGTTGGTTTTCCGGTTCTCTCTTGTTCTTCTTCACCCAGGAGATCCTGAAGAATATATACAAATAAAAGACACTCGTGATTAAATCCTGGAAACCAATTTCTGTGATTCATTGACAATCCTTCGGTGAATGGAATGAATGAAGTATGAATATCCATTCCATCATTAAACTAGTCACCCATTCCATGTGACCTGTTTTTTACCCACCACCTGTCAATTATTTAACAGCAACCCTTGGGACTGTGGTGATTTACTAAATCTAGAGATGACATATTACTTAAAAATCTAGAAAGTTAACAGCACATGAAATTGCATATTTAAAATAAAACACTGTGTTGTGAATGAGTGAGTCAAATTTCCTGCTGATGACTGAGACCCTGCAATACATGAATCAAGTTAACTACATTGTGACTTTGACTGGGCCTTTAGTCAATAGTTGCTCATAATAATCTTCATTATAACCATGAAGAAATTACAATAATTTTTTTAAAAAATTGATATAGTATTAATAACTGAGTAGTTAAACTAGTGCTTGTCTTTTAGTAAAAGCATTGTATGTACAATATCTGATACTGTACAATACTTTATTTTCACTTGGAATTAATTTTCGCTATTTTCACTGAAAGAATGATTCAGTGAAAATAAAATCCAGTGAATCGTTGTTCCAATTTTACATTCAACTCATCACAAATCAGTGAAAATAAATTCCATACAAAACACCTAAAGTCTATTCAGCGAAAATTAATTCCAGCTAAAATCAAGTACACATTTAAGTAGAGATGATTCTGTTGTGTTTAATATCATTTTGAAATTGTCATGTAGTGCTGTGTTGAGAAATTATTGTATTTTCTGTTGAAAACCCGTCTTTAATTTGACAGTACATTATGAATTATATTTTGTCTTTTGTTGTTTTACATATTTTGCAAATACTTTCATCAGCGGATTGAGTTGTGTAATTTTGCGTAATGTTCAAATAAGGCGCACATTTAATTATATTATTTAAAAATCTGTATGTGTGTAGTGATCTTTTTATATTGTTCATTTGATATGCCATTGAATTCCTTTTTGACCAATCCATAATTATTTTACATCAGAATCATTGTTTCTGTTTGCTTCCGTGAAGTCTTTGATTTGTAATTCCAGTTCTGTTCTGTTTCAGTTGTATTTTTATTTGGAACATATTTGTTTGTTATCATTTTACAACAGTAGAGTAATTTCTACTGTGGTCTTGATCGTTATACCATAGTTTTTGTTTCATTTGACTTCCCTAGACGAATACAAAGCCTATTCTTTCATAGTTCCAATCGCGATTAATTCATCATAATTATAGACAACATCATTCATAATCTCATGATGATATTTAACACTAGCAATTACAAAGACAGAACATTGATCACAGAGAACCAATCTATCCATACCCAATGTATTTCATTGATGTACTGAATCATCACAATATATAGAAGTCACATAATTATTATTAATAGATTTTTTCTTTTTCAACAACAACTCATTGTTAATGAAGATGATTTAACTGATGTGGCATAAGGACTACAGTTTGTGCGACAAACGCACACACACACACACACACACACACACACACACACACACACACGAACAGGTAACGAAGATACAGTGTACTTACTCCTGAATTTTGAACAAATCTTAAAATAATTAAATTTTTAACCAATGTTTGATGTAATATCTGTACAACATAAGATTTTATTTTCTTGCAGTCAATCTTGAGTCATTTTTACAGAATTCAAGATTTTGTTGATTGTTTAAATGAAAAAAAATAATGTTTTTTGACAAATGGATATAGTGAAATATACACACATTCTACTAATGCATGCTGAGAGTGACATAAAGGCCATAAATATAATAATTAAACTAATTACTTTTCCCGCAGACAGATAACTAGAGTAGATAAGAGACATGTTTTTAGTAGACTGATAACACATCAACGAGGGAATATGTAAAAAATACCATGCCATTCTTTGTTTGGAATGTTGTAGCAGATAATTGGATCTTCAAACAGTCAAAATCAGTTTAGAGATTAGGTGCAGGACAGGAGACATACAGTTGCATACTAGTATCAGGTCACGGAATTGTGATGTTCGTAAAATGAAATGTACATGTACAGGTGAAGATTTAGTCCAATCAGAAGTACTGTATTTTCTCTATTAGAAGCGCATCTATCTTCAAGAAGTGAGATTACAAAAAAAAACTGCATTTATATTATATAGTGGATTCTTTAGACTTATTTTGACCATAGATACACCTGTTATTTATGTAAGCGCATGCACTACTAATAGAGTAAATACGGTAACAAATGTAGATAGTGGTCAACTGTAAAGTGTTAAATACTCTGTTATGCAGTTCAAGAGTTTTTGAAAGTCATTGTATTATTTAAAAACAAATCTCAAAATCCATGAAGATTAGTCTCTTCGAAAATTAAATCTATTTCTAGTATATTCAGCATGGATGTCGGAATAAATCATTCCTGAATTGCCTAGTAATTATATCAAGTTTTCAAAAAAAAAAAAAAATTTCATTCATTATTAAATACTGACCATCACAGTTTTTGCCTGGGTCATGTAAAACTGGCAAGCAGCAGAAAAACGGGCCCTGATGGCTGTGCAAAATCGATATAAGCATAATTAGTGTAATTAGATTTGTATCACTAATAGTTTTAAACAGTATGGAGATAACTGCACCCCACGTGTTTGGCATTGGTAAAACGTCCCAGGTATATGACCCTTTTTCACACAGAGAGTCATGCCCCTACCCTCTTGCTACCATAACAACACATAAACCCAACAAACTAAACTGTGGAAAGGGAAGAAATCCCAATTTATGCATTGCATACTGGAAGCATCCATGGATAGCCATAGTGAATGAGAAAAATGTGATGTGTTAAAACAAAATATTCTATGGTACTTTATACCTTTTACTGGATCTTATTGATGAAACAAATACTACCGTTAAAGTCCTAATATAAACCGCATACGTAATAGTAACCGCACCCCCAATTCCGGCTTCAGGGTTGAAGAGTTCTTAACAAAAATTGAAAACTTGAAAAGTACCTATTACTAACCGCA